TCAGCTAGGGGTGCTGACATGAGCCCTGGGGCCAGTGTCAGCTCCCAAAACCTTCTGAAAGCTCCTGATGCCTTTGCAAGCAGCAGTGGGACCTCCAGCAGGAGCATAGCTTCTCTATCCAGCTCAGGACCATCATGTGAGCAGCTGAAATTCCCAGCTTGGAGCATCTAGAGCTCCCAGAGTCAAGTTGGGAGCCATGAGCAGAGTGCAGCTCACGCAGCTGTTGGGTGCCACTGAATCCTCCAAGTGCCTGGAGCATCCTTGCTGTTGTAAAACACAAGACAACCCAATTTTGGGAGGTGTTTCCATTCCATACTCCAAATTACTTATATTTCTTGCTTTCAAAGAAAAAAAAATCGTGTAAATTATGGACTTGAGCACGATTACTCCTTGAGAGTGCCCAGGAGGAGCAGCCACGTGTCACACAGTTGTGTGAGCACCAGGGCAGAGGGGATTAAGGTGTCACCCAAAATGCGCATGGCTGTGGCTTGAAAAGAGGCAAAACAGAGCTTTTTTGAGAACAACTGTTCCAAGAAACTGGTTTTGGTGAGGAACGCCTGGACGACATGCGGTCCCACTCTCCCCAACACCAGGAGCAGGCTGCAGACAAACAGCTCCTTGAATTAGATTTCATGGGACATTAGAGGCATGGAGAGACCTGTCACAAGAATTAGATCTGAACCAGAGCCAGACAGCTTCAAACAGATGTTGGGCTTCAGCAGTAGAATATTCCTTTGTTTTACTCAATGTTTTCCCATACAGAAAAGGAACATCTGTTCCAATGCTTTCGCCGGTGCTCCGGAGCTAAAACGGGATGGGATTATCCCTGCCAGAAGCAATTGGTCACCAAGCCCTCCTGGGCTTGCTGCTCCTAGGGAAGAAGGTGAGACCTGGGATGCATTGCTGCAGTCCTGGGTAGACCCACTGGAGCTGTCGTGGTGGAGCAGATCATGGGATCAATATATCCATCATGCCTGCAGCAATACAGCTGGATAAAAATACTGGATTCAGAGTGGTTGTCCATGGAAAATGGGTCCTTTTGGATTTATTTGTGCTATGGAATACTTCTGCAGGAAGTGTCTCTGTCCACGGGAGACCTTGTTCTTTAAGGTCCCTTCCAACCTAAACCATTCCATGATTCTAGAGGACGAAAACTCTGGGGTTTATCTTTGCTGTAGAAAAAACCTTGGATATCCAGCATATTTCCATTTGAGACAGTGTGACCAGGAGGTCTGCTCAGATTTGGACAAGGTTTAGATGATGTTTCTCATGATTTAACTTGTCCTCAGAGCCAGGAGATGAAATGGAGCCAGGCAGTCCAGGATGTGAGAGGCCTGGGATACTCCCCAGCAGTGTTTAGTTCTCTGGACATGCTTAAAGGAGATCCAGGTGAACTGGAGAAGGACTTGGGACAAGGGCTGGAGGGACAGGACAAAGGGGGATTGGCTTCCCACTGCCAGAGGGCAGGGTTAGATGAGATACTGGGAAGGAATTGTTCCCTGTGAGGGTGGGGAGGCGCTGGCACAGGGTCCCCAGAGAAGTTGTGGTTGCCCTTGGGTCCCTGGCAGTGCCCAAAGCCAGGTTGGACGGGGCTGGGAGCAACCTAGGGTAGTGGAAGATGTCCCTGCACATGGCAGGGGTGGCACTGGGTGGTCCTTGAAGTCCCTTCTAACCCAAAATGTTACAAGATTCAATTTTTCACAGTTGCACCAAAGCCCCACAGTTCTGCAGCACAAGGCCCCATGGTCTCCCAAGAAATGAGGCACTGCCACTGCCTGCACCCTGGTCCTGCTTTGTAGGCGATTGGCTTTTCAGAGAATGTATCCTAATCCCATCCAGAGAAGAGGAAAAGGCCAGGAGGGAATGCAATGGAGTGTCAGCAGCGGAGGGAATGGATAGCATGGTGTGAGTGAGGTGGGACAGCTGGATCTTGCCCTAGCTGGGAGGCACAGAACAGCTGGATCCTGCCAGAGCTGAGAGGCACAGAACAGCTGGAAGAGCGGCCAGCATGGCCGTGATGGGGTCCCCATGAGGCACGGCCAGGCAGGGAGCTCGGAGCATCTGTGTTGATGATGGAACTGGGACTGGAAATGAGCACCTGTGTCCTTGGTAACTCACAGGCACGATCACTGCTGCCCTCCCCAGAGCAAAACCAAGCTTGGGAAGTGCGTGGTGTCTCTGCCTGGGGTTGGTCCAGGTGAGGAGCTGCTGCAGAGCTGTGCTTGGCGTGGAACTGGCTGCTCCATCTCTGGGAGTGCCCAAGGCCAGCTTGGACGGGGCTTGGAGCAGGTGTCCCTGCCCATGGCAGGGGGGTGGAACCAGGTGTCCTTTAAGATTCCATCCAGCCCAAGTCATTCCCTGAGTCCATGAAAAAAGGTCAAAAACCTTCAACAAGTGGCACCGGTCCCCCTCGGCCACAGCCCCGTGGGTTCATTGCCAGGAGCTCTCGTCAAGGGCTCCTTGAGAGCATCTGGGGGCCAGCTTGGAGCTTTTCCGGCTGCTTTGTGGACACGGGGTTACTTCTCTCACCTCCGCGGGATTGCTTAATTGCAGCCCCCTCCCTTCCCCGAGCCTTCCCTCCGCCCCCCTGCAGGCTGGCCAGGCACTAATTGAAAAGCCTAATGAGGTCCCAGGGGTCTCCTGCAGAGATGGAGCTAATTAGGGGCTCCACCACGAACACCGAGGTTTCTTCAAACCTCTTTTTTTCGGGGGCTGGAGGGGAGGGCACACCAGATGTCCTGTTATCCCACTCTGCACCGGGGTAAGGCTGGTGCTCCACGTTCTCCAGGTTCCTGCCAAAGCAGCTGGTGCAGAGGCAGTGGCTACACTTAATACATTTTAATTAGCATCATTAAATTCTTCCATTTGCTAATTGTTTCTCCTTTTGATCCTTTATCCTGACCAGATTAGCCCTAGAGGGGAAAGGGGGAGATGGGGGATGCAGACATGTTGGACGAGGTGAGGACTTCATTATCTTGACACCAGACCTTGGGACACCACATTAAAACAGTGCAATTAGTGTTAATTAAGGCCAGATTTGTGTGTCCAGCCTGCTCTTGGTGGCTATTGTCAGAAAGAGTCATCCCCAAAAAGTGAATCCACAAGGATTTATGAGAATAGATGGCACCAGTCCAGGGATAACCCCAAAATTGGAACATAGAGTTGCTGTTCAGGTGATAACGTGCTGGGGTGTCCTGTGCAGGGCCGGGAGCTGGATTCCATAGTCCTTGTGGGTCTCTTCCAGCCTGGGATATTCCATGAATCCATGATTCCATGATCCAAGACCAGTAGCTGCTATCATGTTGGCTTGGGCCATGTTGTGAGGGACGTGAGGTGAGGGGAGGTGAGATCACTGGGCCTCTTTATTCTGTTTGATCCCTACAGAAGTGTTGGGTCCTGGTGCAAGCCACTGGGCTCTGGGCTGATGTCAGCCTCATCCATGGTATTTTGGGCAGAATTCCATTCCCAGAGGCACTGTTGTAAATCCAGAGGAACTTGGCCTCTGCTCAGTCACTCTTGACTTCCAGGGGGTGAGTGAAAACTGAGCATGAGAAACAGCCTCAAATCTCTGTTTAAATCCCAAAAAAGCATTGGGCCGACTGTTTCGGTCTCCTTGGAAAGGCTGGCACAGGCAGCGCTGAACAGCAGGGATTGTTGGAATGTGTTGAATTGAACTGAGTTTCCCCAGAGATTTGGGAAAAAAAAAAACAAGAGAGAAGAAAATCAACCACATCTTCCACCACACTCCAAGGCAGGAATATTCCCCAGTTACTCCCCAGTCACCGTGTGGGGCTCGGTTGGTTTCTATGTGATGTTTTTCCTGTGTTTTAGGGTTAAATGGAGTAACTGGACTGGGCAATGGATCCATGATTCTGATTCCTGCTGGAGACAGTGAAATTTCGCTGCCTGCCTTTGGTACTGTGTGATGGAAGAGACTCCATCGAATAGCACAAATGACCCAGGGGGCTTACATATCAAGAAATTCATCCTGGCTGCAAATGCAGGCAAACCCATTGATCTAAAAGGAAGTGTCCAAGGCCAGGCTGGACAGGGTTGGGAGCAACCCTGATAGTGGAAGGTACCCTTATCCTGCCCATGTCCCAGGATGGGCTTTAAGGTCCCTTCCAAGCCAAATCACTCTGTGATTCTGTGATTCCATGAAAAGCTGGATATTTGGTCAAGAGAAGGGAAATGTAACAGATAAACAGAAAGACGTGAACAGTCCTGGGTGCTCACTGACAGGCACAGCCAATTTCCTGCAGCTGCTGGGAATCACTGCTGTCACACAGGGTATGCCCACTTGGGCCAGGAAAGAAAAACAACAGGCTATCCAGAAAAATAAAAAAGTATCTGAAAAATAACAGGTCATTCAAAAAATCAAATAAAATCTGAAAAATAACAGGGTATTTTTTAAAAAAAGAAAAATACCCGAAAACCACCAGGTTATCCAAAACCAGCAGGTTCTCCCAAGCTGTCCTGGAACAAAGGAAAGGAAAGCAGCCCTGATTTCCTGCCTGTTTTCCCCCAGCCTCGCCCACTCCAGAGCCGGGAGTGCACTCCTAGCACCCGTCTGGGGCTGTAGTCACTAACTTTCTCACTAACTCCCCGCCCTGGACCCTCAGGGCCGGGACACGACCCCAAACCAGCGAGTTTGACCCCAAAATGCGGCTGGGACCGCACAGGGGCCAGGCTGTGGGGGGCGCCGAACCCGCCAGGGGGCGCCAACCGCCTCCCGATGGGGTTCCCCAAGCACCGCCCCTTTGTTCGGCCCCGCCCCATCCGGAACAAGCCCCGCCCCGTCATGCGGTCACGCTCACAGCCCCACCAAGCCCCGTCCCTGCGGGCCCCAAGCCTAGCCCCAAGGCTCAAGTCCCGCCCCGTCACGATCAGTCTCCGCCCCCTCTCCGTTCTCGCTCCCTCCCGGTCCCTTCTCGTTCTCGCGAGATCCGTGCCTAGAAGCGCCACTGCGGGCCGGGCCGGCGTTGAGGGGTTTGCCCGCCATGGAGGCGCCGCGGCCGGTACTGCTGCTCTTGGGGCTCCTGGGGCTCCTGCTGCTCCTGGGGATCCGCGAGGCGGGTGAGGTGCCGCTGGCACACCGGCAGGGGACCTGGGGAGGGGTCGCGGAGGGGCAGGGGACGAGGGACTATGGCAGGGGCAGGAGAGGGTAGCGAAGCGCTTGGGCCGGGGGTGGGTCAGGCACCACACTTGGTTTGCGGGGCCTCCTCTGCCCTTGGGGCCCTCCTGCGGGAGGGGTTCCTTGGGGTCTCGAGCTTCCCCCTCCCCCCCGAGGTCCTTCCTCTCTCTTGAGGTTCTCTTCCTCCTCTGCTCCCCCCTGGCTCCTGTGGCGTTTCCCCTCTTCCCCCAGCGGTTCCGCCGTCGTTCTCGGGGAATTTCCCCTCTGCTCTCCGGCTCTCAGCCCCCCCAGTGCCGACTGAGTGTGCTTCCCGTACTTGCCCACAGCAGAGACCTCGCAAATACATACCAGCGGATCTTCCACAGCACCTGAGGCAGGCGAGACAGGTGGAACAGCTGACATCCAGGAGCAGAGGAGCACGTCCCTAGAGAACGAAAACGAGCAGAAGGGTAAATCCAATGATGGTGACCTCCCAACAGACCTGAGCAGTGGGATCAGGGTGGATAAGAAGCAGAACACAAACGAGGAGCAGGACAGCAGTCTGACTGGAAATGGCAGCAATGAGGAGGAGGAGAAAAACGAAAAACTGAAAGGAAGCAGCGCGGGGGCTACTCAGGATGACCAAGGTGCAAATGAGACTAGTGAAAGCAGCAATGCAAGAGATGGGAGACAGGGACATGAAGGCCAGAACAGCAGCAGTGGTGGCCCAGGCAACACGGGCAGTGATGACCAGGGCAGTACAAGGACCAGCACTGCTGCCAAGGGCAACCCAAGCAGTGGCTCTGGTATCCAGAGCAGTATAGGAACTAGCAATGGTGACCAGGGTAATCCAAGCAGTGGCACTGGTGTCCAGGGCAGTACAGGGACCAGCAGTGGTGACCAGGGTAA